TTTGTGCTTTGAAACAACAGTAGGTACTTAACAGCAGGTCACTTGGTGCTTCTTTGTTTGGTGTACTTATCCATGGGTCAGGTCAAATGAGGTCAACTGAGGTCAAATGACGTTTTTGCCAATAACTTGGCACATAATGATGCTAGAGCTTAAAAATGGTATCATTGTGTTCCTGGTGATCAGCCGAATCGAATGATATGCAATATGATGCAATTTGGTTAACTTGAACTTAATTTATAAATTTAAGTTTACTTAAATTTAAGAAAAACTTTAAGTACACTTAAGCAAGCTAAAAAGTATATCATTCGACGCGCCTTGACGTGCTGAGTTCACTGGTGCTTTTCTTTTTGCTCTATCTTAATTAGATCAAAAGTTATAAGCGAAAAACTTTTGACCTGTTTTTCGCGAAATTTTTTCATTTATACCCCCCAAAACCCCCCTAAATATTGACCTAGAGCAACGAAATTTGCACAGGGGCGAGAACTCCAGGGGGCCCACCTACCTACCAAATTTGGTGTTTCTAGGTGCCATAGGAGCCAATCGCGAGGGGGGGGGGTCGCATCGACCCCCCCCCCCTGCCAGGCCGTGTTATGAAAAATGCCCTGCCAGGGCGAGGGTTAAGCTAAGCTGCACTGCCGTTCTTATCCCCGGCATCTATTTTCTGACTGACGCCGTGGCCGGTCAGCTGTAGGAGCGTTTGCAGACGAATCCAGAGCTTTGGTCTCTGTGGACGTTGGGCCAATGCCTGAACCGCCACTCCCGCGTACTTCATCGAAGAAGTACTCTGGCCTGTCTTGGGTGAGGATGTAGGTCAGCAGGTTGGCTTCCGTACCGAACAGCATTGTACTTCTTTCGTAAGTGACACCGTTGGGAGTGCGGGTAACTCGGCAAAGACGAAAACATCAAGTGGTCAGAAATAGGCATCCGTGAGTGGTCACTGGTCAGTTATGTACTACCTGTTGAGATGTTGATTAGCCCACCAACCCGACCCGGGTTAGTTAGTCACGTCCGTGCTTTCCGGCGCGCTCATTTGGACCATGATAATGAAGTAAGTGAGCACGAAGCCGACCAGCGACTGCATGGTGGTTTTATGTGTGACAAACAGACCCCAGCCGTCGAAGCCGAGAGGCTGCTGGGTTTGCGCCAGCAGCAGCTGAAGCGTCAGCCGCGCCTCCGGACTGGCGTGGCCCGACCAGCGGGCGCTGGCCAACGCTGCGTGCAACTGCTGGCTCCGGTCTGCGAGCCGACTGCCGGACACGGAGACCAGCAGCAGCCGCACCGCGGCCAGCAGCAGGAACAGCGCGTAGCCGACGGCGCGTGCCAGGTCAACGCCGCTGCGGAACAGCTGCACGTTCACGTACAGGCCGACCAGCAGCGCTGTCGTGACGAGCGCGTGCAGGCAGAGCGTGGGCAGCGAGCAGAGCGCCGCGCCGGCCGCCGTCAGTTCGGACACCCGGCCGTACAGCTGGCGCAGCTCCCGCAGACGACAGGGGTCCAGGCCAGCCGGTCCGACCGCGCAGCGGCAGCGCGGATCGTGCCTCCGTCGGCGAGCGGTCACCGGACCAGTGCCGGGCAGGACGCTGATTTGGACCGAGGAGGGACTGCCTGAAGAGACACTCGTGGGATGTTTGTGGCCATTAATTCTCCTTGTGGCCCATCTTGCTGTGCGACAGTTGTCCTCTGGCCGTGTTTTCTCATGATGCACGCCGTGAGTGCGTTCTTCTGCACCGCTGCTGGCCAGCCAGATGTGGCTGAGGCGTCTCAGGCGCGTCAGCAGCAGTGTGGACGCGTCCGTCAGGCCAACCAGGACCAGATCAAACATAACCGAAAACCCGAGAAGACAGTTGTCGGCGACCGCTTGAAGAGCAACGACTAACCAGTATCCGGTGGGGCCGCGTAAGATCGGCGGCACAAGTACCGGGACTAGGTAGTTCGGGTGCTCGAACTTGCTCATCACGAAGAAGGCAGCCAGCCAGATTGCCACCGCCAAGACCTGAATGCCAACCAGGAGCAGACACTGCCACTGGACGAACCGGTAGTCGTCGCGGTGCCGGCAGCGCGCGGTCGCCTCGTCCAGCTCGGCGACCCAGTTCAGTAGAACATGCAGCTGATGACGGTGGCGAAGAAGATGCACCATCACGAACGCGTTGTACAGGATGAGCGCCAGCATCACGACGTTGTAAAGAAACGAGAACAGGCTGCGGGTGGTTAGGGTGAATGCCAGGCTTCCGACGGTGTATGCAGCTCCAAATGACAAGGACATCAGTCGGGCGACGCGCCAGCCGGCCGCCGGCCGCTCCTGCTGCACGTGCAGACCAGTTAGCGTTAGCAGAGAGACCACAAGCACGGCGCAACGCAGCAGCCGCGCGTGGGACCACATCCCGGCCGGATCGTGATGACCTCGTCAAAGGTCAATGATCGCCGCCCGGCCGCTCGTAGCGCCAGAGGTGAAATGACGACGGTCAGTCGGCGCCGACCACGAACGTCACAGAGCTGAGCGACTCCACATTGAGGGCAATCGTACGCAAGCATGCTGAATGCACGGCGATTTCAATCTAGCTTTGAATGCGGTGCAGCCTGCGTCGTTGGTGAGCGCCGAGGAAGTAAGGGTGACTGTCCGACGGTCGCCATCAGCTCCTAGTGTTGGTTGCCGACAGGCAGTGCGCCCGTCATTCGAAATCGCTGAATGCCAATCAGCGTCCATCACTGCCAACCATCGATCAATATACGGCGTTACGGAATTCACGTGATGTATGAAGTAGGCATACTCTCCCAAAAAGCTGCCAGAAACTGGCTCAAATGTAATGGTTGTTGGATCCAAGGCATTTCATCAATTTGACGCACATCCAATGGCTTAGGAAGCAGAGTGCTCACGCCAATTGTCAGATTTAATGGGAAGGGTCGTTGCATGGCTTTGCCGAAAGTGACCACGCCTTTCAAGATAGAATTGGCGGTGCTGATGGAGGCGAGGTGCGCCTGGAATCCCTGGAATCGCTTAACCTTTTTACTGGTGGTTAGGAGGGGGACTGATTCGTCCCCCGGATAGCTTTTGCCTTTTTATAGTATGTACGTATGAACAAGCACCAGACACCTTCCCTTCATACCTATGAATGCCTGAAGGTGCTTGAGCATGAGCTAGCGACGTTAACTGGTTAAGGGGAGGCCGAGTTTAAGTGAATGTTGAGTCGAACTATCCGATGCTAAGCCTACATCATCTAATACCGACGCAAAATAAAATGTTAACACACATATGCAAATGTGAACAAATGTTAACATATGCAATAATTTCATGAAACATGTTCCGTTTCTCGGCCAAAACGGAAGTCATTCCATAGAAGTCTCGTTGACCTTTTGCTGAAAAGACAGGTCATGCTTCTCTTGGACACATGCGAGATCAGATCCAGCTTCATGTTTTCACCATTGAGATACATCGTGCACGATGCGCCTTGATGTCGAAATCGTCGGTTGTGTCCAAAGTACACAACCGTGGTCACCTATGTATCACGTGTTCCGGTGTATTTTCTTCTTCGTTATGGCTTGCTTCAGACCGCGTTTCGTTCCACATTGCCCAACGTCGTTACAGAGGCGGAACACCTTCAATTAAGGGGGGCACTGCCGACTTTTGGTCCCATTCTTTCCATGCAACGCCCATAGCGCTAATGTTAATTAAAATGCCAAAATCAAAGGGGGCACGGTGCCCCGGTGCCCTCCCCGTTCCGCCGCCTATGCGTCGTTATCCTTCAGTCATTTCAGAATGGATATGTCGTTATCTATCTTTTCTTGGCATTATTCTTTGCACGGGACAATTTGAACGCTTATGATGCATCAGTTTAAAGCTATTCCTTTTATAGCAAGGCAGGCCAACCCTGCAACTTAAAATCCGTTCAGTTCATTCCGCTTTTTGAAAATGTCACTGAAACAATTATAAACATGCTTATGTATTGTGATAAACGTGTCGACATTCTATACAAAACAACCAACGTTAGCTGCACAGATGCCCACTTCACAGCATACCTATCTATCAATTCACTAATTAATTGCTATAAAACACCACATGTTCCTACATAATCTCACAATGCCTAACGCCAACTGGCTCCTTGAGCATCGCTGACCTGGCATCCGGAAGGAGCCCACCTATCGACCAATGGATCGCTGTTCTTCAACTCGACTACGCAACCATAACGCTAACACTCGAACACGGAACAAGTAGGCATCTACCGTTGTGGCATGGCCACTAACGCTTGCTGTACAGGAGTATTGCATATTTTACCACGTAAATAACTGGAATGCTGGTGAAAATCGACGGAAAGCCGTCACAGATGAATGACACGTAAATGAGAATTGTAAATTAGTTTGACAGAGCGTATTCCGGCTACACAGACTATAAAATGAGCAGAAGCATCCCTTTGTGGTTCACTTATATACTAACTGGGTCCGCTGATCGCTCACATTTAGAAGCGTTGCAATTTTTCCAATTTCAGGCACGGCTTTCCGGATCTAGCCAGGATGGAAAGCTGTTAGCCGGTTTGGAAGTCTTCGTCCGAGCCAATGTCTTGGACCTTTTAAAATGGTGGTGAAATCATCCACGTGAGGGCCGTTTTTGGACACTACACTACCCGCATGACCCATCCTCCGTCAGAGCACTCTCCCAGCCATGGTAACTCATCCGACATCGCTGTGTGTGACAAGCAGCACGCCGCATTCGACAAGTCCACCCTTTCGCTCATGCTACATGACATACAGCTAATGCATGGCACAATCATACGTGAACTGGTAATGAACCCGAGTTCCGAATAGGACGTTGTGTTCGTGACCAACTAATTGACAGAGTGACGGAACAGTGGCGATGAAAATAATTTAGCTGAAAATGAATAATTGCTCGTTATCACTTATTTTTCATATCTCCTTGCAAAATCAGTTTCTTTCATATGATAATTCCGCCTGCCGTATGGGCTATCGCTAATTACGTTGTACGCATCATTAGTACCTAAATAAATAAATTTAAATACACATTCGCAATTAATTCATTATTCAAGTCGTTTGCGTTAAGCAATCTTCGCCTCTTGCGCCATCCACAGTGGCAGGATGATCAGTTTTGGAGAGAGATCAAATATCAATACCAAACTCAACTTCAGTCCTCAACAATACACCGACAACTAACGATGCATGAACAACTCATCGATCACACGTTGCAAAAGTTCTCTCATACTGCGGAGAGGTGTCTCTGGGGTCGCCCCGATAGGCGGCGCTCAGGTCTTCAGAGAGAGCCGCCGACACGTAGTGTGACGTCCTCTGGTGGGGCCTGGCCGAGCGCGGGGGACACGCGAACGACCGCGATCGCGGCGGCTCGATCCGAACCGCACTGCCCGGGGCGAGTGAGTGTCGGCTGCAGGAGGCGTGCACCAGCCACCGGGAGCCCTCGCAGCGCGGCGGCGGGCCGGCGGCGGACCCCGGCGGGCCGCCGTACCGGTGGGTGCTGTCGGCGCCCAGCGCTCCGGGGTCCAGGTGCGACAGCCGCGCGCCGCCCCTACTGGATGGATGGCCGGCGCGAGCCAGCAGCACCCCAGAGGACTGACTGCGCCCGGCCAGTGGGGCCGGCCGACCGAACGGCGGCAGGGACTCTCGGGAGCCGGCGGACGGCCACACCCAGCCGCCCATCGACTCTGAAATCACACAGCAAGCGTCAGTACCTACTGAGGGGGATAGTCTGACAAAGCGTCAGATGAAACCAGGGAACCTCTCTCACTCAGACATGCCAGGTACCTACATTTGTTTTGAAAAGGTAACTATGAATTGAAAACGTCTTTGAGTCTTGACAGAGTGAAACGAAGTTATGCGGATCACCTCAGCTGGACTCTTCCCAACATATACCACGCATGCAGTATATGAACATTGAACACGAAGGTATGAGAAGCCCTGAGTGAACTGGCTACACTAACCGACGATCGATTGGGAGGTATTCCATCTGCCCAGAGTTTTGTTTCCCAGCTGACCGGTGCTGTGCTCAGGTGAGCAGTGTCCCAACTAACCGGTGCTCTGGTGGGCGGTGTCCCAACTAACCGGTGCTCTGGTGGGCAGTGTCCCAACTGACCGGTGCTCAGGTGAGCAGTGTCCCAACTAACCGGTGCTCTGGTGGGCGGTGTCCCAACTAACCGGTGCTCTAGTGGGCAGTGTCCCAACTCCCAACTAACCGGTGCTCTGGTGGGCGGTGTCCAGCAGCGCGGTGGTGGCGTACGGTGACGGCCCCGTCACGGACGGCGGCGGCGGCGGCCCGTGCTCGGTGAAGGCCGGCAGAGCTCGGCAGCTCAGCTCGCCCACCGGCTGCTCCTTGCCCAGGGTCCAGGCGGCGCCCTCCATCCAGGAGGCGGGCCGCACCCCGGACGGCAGGAGCGCCAGACCCTCGGGACGCTTCTCACCGACCGCTGACGGCGCCGAGACATGCGTTAGTGAGGGGGACGGCCATAGAACTTTACTCATCTCTACTTATCACAGGTCCGCCGATTGCCAGCACACACCTATTCCGTCGCTTTCATTCTCAGGACGGTCAAAGTTTTTATGTGACTGTAGCTACGAAAATACTAAAGCTGTGGCCTGCCACCGATTTATTTACAGCAAAGCAGCGATGAGAAATGGAAATGCCTCCCTCCTTTATATCACGCGGTTTTCTCACCTCTGCTGAGAGCCCTGCTGCGCCGCCGTCTGAGCAGACAGACCAGCAGCACTGCCGTCAGCAGCAGCAGCAGCAGCGTCAGCAGGGCGCCCAGCACCACCTGGAACCAGTGTCTGCCCAGCAGCCCGGCCGGTGGGGCCGGGGTAGTAGCCAGGCTGAACACCAGCGGTGCCGAGCTGGGCCCGCGCCCGGCCTTCGTCTCCGCTGTCACAACGACCGAGTACTGGGCCGAGCGGAGCAGCCCGCCCAGCGTCACCTGGCGGCGGAGGGCGGGCACAGAACAGTCACAGTCTAGTCTCAGATAAGTCACAGACGGTGAAAGAACTGGCTGTCAACTACTTACGTATTTGCGCAACTTAAGTAAAACTTAAGTTACGCCGTCGACCTGAATACGGCACCAGGCACAGAACCAGTGGCACAAATCGGTCACAGTCCAGCCAGGGACCAGTCACAGTCACAGTCCAGTTACAGTTCAGTCACAGTTCAGCCACGGTGCTAATTCAGATACCACTCGCAGTCCAGTCACAGTTACGACGGGCTAGCCCCAATATAGCCGTCGCCGGCAGCCGTCACGTACAGACCGGCGGCGGACAGCACGTTCAGTCACAGTCCAGTCACCATCACTCAGTCACACTCGTCACCGCCCACCTCGGCCTACTGTCAGACTCTGCAACGGGCGCGCCCACCGGCTGCCGGAACCAACTCATAATGCCACCGCCTTATGCCACTCCAAAACGCCGGCCGAGCTCTCAGCTGTCTGAATATTTAATCCGCCTCCATCCCCGCCATTGTTTGAACCCTCCGCCTGCCTGTGAAGGGCCTCTAGAATCTCCACCGATGAAAGTGGCTCAACAATAAACATCTCTGACGGAGAGAAACGCTCTCTGACAGCGCTCTAATTAAGCATTATCCAGCCTGCTGCTAACATAATTGCATACGACCTCTCGGCTAACGAAGTTGGCCGGGCCGTTCCAATTCGAGCGACGCGGCGCGGCTGATCCTTCGATCAGCAGCGTTGATCCGATGGGGGGTGGATGAGGGGGGGGGGGATCCCACCTGTGTCGTCCCAGCTCCGACGAGCAGGCTGGTCCGGTCGTCGTCGGGCCTCGTCGGTCCGTCGCGTCGCAGGTGTACGCGGTAGGCGCGGACGACGGCGGCGGCAGAGACGTCGGACGGGGGCAGCCACGAGACGAGGACGGCGCTAGAGTTCACCGGCCGAGCTGAGAGGCCGTGCGGAGCCGCTGAGGGGGAGAAGGGGGAGAGGGAGAGGGAGAGAGAGAGAGAGAGAGAGAGAGAGAGAGAGAGAGAGAGAGAGAGAGAGAGAGAGAGAGAGAGAGAGAGAGAGAGAGAGAGAGAGAGAGAGAGAGAGAGAGAGAGAGCTCACGTCCGGTGTGACTGACGCTCTGACACACTTGACTGGCGTGCTGGTGATATAGGGAATATTTCCGGGAAAAGTAATATCCGACATGTGTTGCAACTGGGAATTTCTATGGGATTGTCAATCAGCACTGCATTGGGGAGCGAGTTTCGCAAAATATCTTATTGAAAATGTTGGGAGCTCCTCAGAAAATCGGATCAGGCACGGAGGAGCTAGCAGTCACAGATTCCGCGACGAACATGATAACACGTCGTGGAACTTTGTCAGTGCAATGTCGCGCTTTTTGCTTTATCCGAATGGTTTGAAGTGACTCGAATGATAAAATGGTGTAGCCGGAAAACGCCTTAGGTAAGGTTGCGCTGATCAGAGCCCGTTTTCAAACACGTGGTGTCCTATGTGCAGTGTGAGAAAGTCTTGGAAGAGAAATTCAGTGATGGCAATTGGCACTACCAGCAGACCGGAAAAGTGCACTAAAGTAATGAAGTTCCCAAATTTCCTGAAGCGGTGCGTTGCTGGCTAAAGCGTAGTTATCAACTACCCTGAAACAATGTGCTGCGAACAGTAGTGAAGTTTTCAGCTATAAACATTAAACAGTGCAGTCCCCCTCACCTTCTGACACGGTGCGCTGCAGCCGTACGGCCGAGGGCAGCTGCGGCCCGCCTGCATTGGTCGGCAGCACCAGGAACCGGTACGTAGTGTCGCTCTGCAGACCTGAGATGACGGTGCCGGTGGAGGACAGCGGGGCTGATCGGAGCCTCCCGGAGGACACGGAGCCATAGAGGACCCGCAGGTGCACCGGACCGGCCGCGCCGGACCTCACCTGGAACACAGAGCTTCGTCAGTGAACGTGTGCAATTTTGCCGCTCAGTTTGTTCTGATCTGTTGTCTTCACTTAGTTTGACCATTCCTCTAACTGCTCAATCTCATCAGCTGGTCGCTCTTCGTTACATCTGCACCCGCCTGTCACCTGTCTCCAGTTGTTCGCTCGTTTCCAGTTATCCGCCCATCCCCAGCTTACAGCTAGCTGTCGGCCTGGTTCCGCCCATCCCCATGCCTAGAGCTGCTGCCGGGTGCCGCCCATCCCCCAGCTCGCTGTCGGCCTGGTTCCGCCCATCCCCATACCTAGAGCTGCTGCCGGGTGTCGCCCGTCCCCAGCTAGCTGCTGTCGCCCGGTGTCGCCCGTCCCCAGCTAGCTGCTGTCGCCCGGTGCCGCCCGTCCCCAGCTAGCTGCTGTCGCCTGGTGCCGCCCATCCCCAGCTAGCTGCTGTCGCCGGGTGCCGCCCGTCCCCAGCTAGCTGCTGTCGCCCGGTGCCGGCGTTGGCTCAGCTCAGTGGCTCAGTCCCGGGTGCTGTTAAACGGACGCCTCACCGACACTTTGATCTCCTCTGACGCTAAATTGATCCCCGAACCGTAAAATCGGGAATAGAGGCGCGTTTCCGCGAAATTGTTCCGGCCCGGGCGGCCGACTGATTGCCACAGAGCGGCTGCTCGCTGCGTGAGGCGCCGCCACCGCTCGAAGGTGTCTCAGACGGAGCCGCGTGGGTACACGGACGGACATACATAAAGGAAGGCGGTTACCGCAGACGCCTGTCACGTTCCGAGCGTGCCACAGAGCCCCGGGACCGATAGATTAGGTCTGAGAGACGCTCGAGTCGATCGGATACTACTGATCCCAGCCTGGCTATGCGAGCGTTACGCGACCGACACTTGCTTTATTTTGTACCACGCGACGACTCAAAGAACCGCGTGAGGACTTTGCCCCGTAAAGTTACCGTTCGTTGCCTTTATTATCGAACATTCCAGTAGGTAATCACCTAAAGCATCTATCGAAACTAGAAAGTTTGCAGATGGAATATTTAACGGTACAAATGATAATCAACAAGTTGAAAGGCTCATCTTTCTCACAAAAATTAGGATAATCGAAGATTGAAGAACAACAACATATTTTGTAATACAGTTCGCAACCTAAGGCCAGAGACAGTTAAAAATAGCATAAAAGGTAGATAATTAGATCACGAGCTACAGCGCGAGGCCGAGTCACACTCGCCAACCTTGCAAAGTTCCTAAGTGAGCCTGGCGTTTCAGCTTTACACAATGGGAGCTGCACTCAGTCCGTAGCCACGACGCCAGGGCAGCAGTTTAAGTTTTCCAACTGGTGCTTTAGAAATTGTGCAATCTGTCTTCTCAAAGAATCGGGTCGAACAAACTCAAGTCTCAAGTCTCAACGTTGGACCTATCGGCTAGAATTGATAACGCACCATTTTATCAATTTTACTTCAAATTTACTTTTAGGCCTTTCATGAGATTAGATTAATTTGATCAATGCAATGAAGATCTAAAAGTACACAAAGTCAGCATCTAGGTACCCAAAAACGTAGCAAACGTAACAAAACAAATGTAACAAATGCAGTATTTGCAGTGAAACATTCCACGCCCCACAATCCTTCTGTTCTGGCAGAATGCCTGCCGTAGTTACTGGGAAGAGATAGCTGTTTGCACGGAAAGATAGTTATAATGGTTAATTCCAAATGTGAATATCTATTTAGCTGGGCTGTTCTCGTCCGTCTGGATAATGCGTCATTCACACCGTAAGAGTTCGCCTTGGACGCCCTGAATAGCTTCCATTCATATTTTGGGTCTGCCATAAGATGACCAGCACCCACCTGTGTCTCCAGCCTGACGGCCGAGCTGTTGATGGCCACCAGTGACGTCACAGTGACCAGTGACGTCACGGCGGTGCGGTCAGCACGGACCCGCAGCCGCACGGCACCGCTGCTGCGCTGTCCCTCTGCTGTGGTCACTGTGCACCGGTACGTGCCGCTCGCCGACTCGTCCAGTCCTGATAACAGTTCAGAAAATTAATATGTAATTGAGAAATGCTGCAGTGTAGTGTGATGACTCAACATAGAATGCATATGAATGTCAGATGAGTGTGTAAATATCAGTCAAAAGGAGTCAGTCGTTCTGATCTGCTTGTGTCAGCAGGCGGGTTTCGAATTAGCCGGTTTGTCAGTCAGTCAAAATCAGTCAGCCGACGTCAGTATCTCACCTGACAGCGTCAGCCGGCCGGTCTCAGACTCTCAGTATCGGTCAGTCTGTGCCAGTGTCAGTCAGTTGGTGTCCGTCTGTCAGTCAGCATCTCACCTGTCAGCGTCAGCCGGCCGGTCTCAGTGTCAGTCCTGCCTGTGTCAGTCGGTCTATGGCAGTATCTCACCTGTCAGCGTCAGCCGGCCGGTCTGATCCACACTGGGCCGTCGGCTCTGCGGGACCGGTCCGCCCGCCCAGCTCCACGCCGTCCTGCCGTCGGCGCCATCCACAGGACACACCAGCCGGGCGTGCCCCGCGCTCACGCTGACCTCAGTGGTCGCACCCGGGTCAGCTCCCGTGTCACTGACCCACACATAACCCCGCGCCACCGCAGCGCCGGCCTCGTTGGCGGCAAAACAGCTCCAGAGCCGCTCGTCGCTCCGACGCACGTTCTGCAACCGAGAGATGATTTCATTACACTCCCACACCGCACTGAACAAAACAAAAGGCGGGCGGTTTCAGAAACGCACCGGGACGCGTCACGTGCCTATTCGGATGGGGAGTGGAGTTAAACGGGCAGCGCGGCGCGCTCGGTCCGCGACCGCCGCCGACCGGCATGAATTCCAATTAGCCGCCGCGGGCGCCGTCGGCCGTCGGCCCGGCTCGGAGGGCGTCCTTCTCGACGGAGCAGTGGCCTGTCGCTGTGAATTATGGCCCGCCCCGGCAGCTGGGCCGGCCGTTGTGCGCGGCCCCGCCGCAGCGGCGATAACCAGCCCCATTTATCTGTTCGATGATGCACGGCCGCGCAGAGACAGCGAGGGCAGCGTGGAGCGGACCACGGCGGGCATTTGTCCGACATTGGACCACCGGATAGATCACAAGATGTCAAAACTTGATTCTGTTAAGTGGAAAGGCCGATTTGAGGTTTCCGCTAATACATGGCCGGATTAGATGTAACAGATTGCGCAGCTTTCAGCGCGATCGGTCACTTGACCTGCGGGCTACGGCCGCGAGAGCGCTGCAGCCTGAGGCCCAGTTTCTCCTCACCTTTACGTGCGGGGTGCCGCTCCTTTCCCTCACCTTGATGTGTGTATGCAGTTTCCCGCTGTTTCCCTCACCTCAGGCCTCTCCTTTATGTGAAGTTTCCCGTTGTTTTCCCCAACTTGATGTTCCATTTTCTGTTGTTTCCCTTACTTTGATTTACCATTTTCCGTTGTTTCCCTCACCTTGATGTGTCATTTTCCGTTGTTCCCCTTATCCTGGTGTGCCGCTGCTTTCCCTCACCTTGATGTGCAGCGTTCCGTTGCTGTAGACGCTGGTAGAGCCCTGCGATGTTCCGGGGAACAGGACCATCTCCGAGCCTGTCGCCGCCCAGAACACCAGCGGCTGCGGGTGGCCGGAGGCGGCGCACGGTAGCGTGACCTCTGATCCCGCGCGGGCCGCCGTGTCGGCCGGCGCCGCCCGCAGCTCCGGCTCCGCTGCCGAAGGTCATGACCTGGTCAGACGCCCCCCCGGGCATACCCGTGCTGCGAGCAGCGAGCGCCGTCAGCCGCCGCCCAATCAGAATTCAGCCGCAACGCGCGACCTTTACGGCACCTTGTCAGGATCGGGCCCCGTAACTTCAGCCGGATATTGACCAACAAGAGCTGGTTTGCGAAACACCTTAGATTGAAACAAGTTGATGTGGCACATGAAACGGAGACCGAATTCCTGAGGCAAAAATTGAACTTCAGAACGGACACATTCACTGCCTGTACAATCTTTCGAGTAAACTGGTACAATTAGTTGAATTTACCAGATTCGTTATAATCTAATTTGAACAATTTTGAGTACATCCATGCATGCTTAGCATTCACTATGCAGCCTGCATAGCCGCTACTCTGCATGCAACCCAAGCTCATCCAGTGGGTGAACCTTCGTTGGCGCAAGAACGGTGTCTAAATATTGAAATTTGGAAATCCCATAAACACTGAGATCTTCACTGATCTGAATTTGTGCCCGAATGATATTAAATTTGCATGAATATGGCTCATTAACGAGTCTTTGCCCGTAGCGATGGAGGAGGAGCTGAAGCTTTTAAACCAGGGTCGGGCTGCGGAATATTTGATGGGTGCAGGGTGACTATGTGGGAAGTTTGGTATTGGTCGGGCTCTTAGTGAGGCCGATGGTCCAACACCTGCCCAAACTACTGCCGCGACTGGGGTTTGCAGCATTTTCCAGAAGCCCAGTCCGCGTCACGCCTGCCGCCTAATGACATCTTAGCTGGCAGCGGGGGAAGGTCATGCCATCAGCAGTAACAGTGTGTCATTGCATGCAACGGCACACTTACCGATATTAGAGCAGACCTTTACAGAGCTCGGAACCATCCTAATGCCGAGGTTACGGTATGATTGCTTCATGCGCTCGCTACTTGCCGAATTTAGACATGATCTTAGTCCATGAAATCTCGCTTAGAAGACAGCAGTACCGAGTTTGATACCAAGGCAACTACATGTAAAATGATACTGTAACGATAGTAAATTAGCATGGAATTGGACATCTATTGGCCATTTCGGACACACGCTAACCGCATTAGTAGAGGAGACTCAGGGTGACGGAACGGCGTGGTAATTGGACCGACACTGAACAGGCAATCACGACTGTATTAGCGGGCCGCGCAGCACTGCCAATTTCGGCTACCACCAGCCATCAGTATGCGGGGGCCGACGGTCGACGGTGCTCACCGTTCTCTTACTGTGGCGGCTCTGCTGCCCACCATGCTCTCACCCCAGCAGTGTGAGTGTGACGGAATTGCTCATCAGACTCTCACATCGCCATGGAGGCGACTCGGCTGCTCACATACTCTCACTATCCTGCTGGACTGCTCACATTCTCTCACTCAATCGCCAGGCCACAATGCTCAGTGCTCACACACTCTCACCCCATCACCAGGCCACACTTCTCACCGTGAATGCTAAGCCGGACGGTGGCCATCTCGGCGCCGACCCGACACTGGTACAGGCCACTGTCGGCCACGGAGACTGTCCTCAGCAGCAGCTGGGGTCCGGAGGAGGCTCCGACGGGCAGCGGCCGGCCGTCCGCCCGCCGCCACTGCACGGCGTCTGACCGGGTCAGGTCGGTGAGAGGACACCGTAGCTGGACAGTCTCACCGCGGAGAGCCGTGGTGGTGGAGGCGACGGTGTCGCTGCTGGTGCCGCTGGTGCTGGTAGTGGTGCTGGTTGTGTTGATGATGCTGGTGGTGCTGACGCGTGGCCGAGCTGCGGATGTCATCGCTAGGTTAGACAGAGTGCGTCGGGTGAGCATAGCATGGCTCATGTAAATCTATTCACATTTTGACATTTTTGGCACGCAGCCATCGCCACGCCCATTTTATTAGTATGCTACGGCTATCTCCCTCGACCACGTGCACTCGTACATAAATAATTAATCCAATATAAGAAGGAACGGCACTCTGCGCTCATATGTAACGATATCGCATCTGATGGCCGGCCTGCGACAAAATTACTTCCATTCATTTAGCATTAGCTTGTCATTGGCAAGACGCGGACGATGGGGAGTTCGCCGGAGGTATAACCAAGTCCCATGACGCCTACAACACCCGGTCATAGGGCCGTATTCAGGGCGCAAAACACCCAAGGCCATCTATAGAAGGTACAGTCACTCCCCCGCCGACCAATCAGAGACAGATCCTGAGTGACGTCACCCCTGATGCTCGCAAGGGGTGCTCCATTCCTTTACAACGTAAAAATGACTAACTTCATTTGAAGATTGTTGGGGACACTCTACACATATCGCTCAACCGTTGATCTCATTGCAAAGTTTAACTAATTTTCTAGCGATAAAAAACAGCAATATGCTAAGAAATGGCCGGTTTTGAAGATATACCTCTGCAGTTGCAGGAAAGCAACGTAAAAACGCATCGAGCTTATATTTTTACTATGAATAAATCATTTTTCAGTAAGTTTTTAGATATGGTATCGATGTAATCAACAACTTTATTACAATATTTTCATTACTTGTAACTTTATTTCAAAATAATATTTTCAAAAATGGCAACTGTTGGTAAGTAGCTTTGAAGCGATTGTGGCGCACCGCGCCATTATTGTCCTGAGGCCCCCTTATGATGTCATCAAAAGTGGAGTGACATGGGCCTGAAAACACCCTGCACGGCCATAGCGCCTCAGTCTATAGTCATGCCGGCATTGATTCGTCACTGACCATCCGGCGATTTATAGAAAATACGAGCAACGGATGGGCTAAATGTCTCCCAAGTTATCCCATCAGTCGCTTGTGGATGTTTTTACTGGCAAAGTATCTTCTCACATCAAGTCGTTGTCTTCTCTCAGTCGGCGTGTTTTCACAATACTGCGAAGCCTTTCAGCTCAACCCTAGGATGTTCTCTGCCATAGACCATAGTCATCATCAAATCTTAGTGCTGAGTTGCTGGTCCATACAAACCGAAATTACTACCGTTTGATTATCACCAGAATATCGCGGACAGTAGCGCATAGCCCTCTTCCCGAGTCAGTCCCAGCCCTCCTCCCGAAATAGCCCCCACCGAGAAAATGCCCGGCGCCCCTGCACAGTCCGTCCCTCCTTCCCAGGCGCCATTGATTCCCAATTCTGGCTGTGTAGTTTGCATGCCGGTCAGAGTCGGCACACAAACGCTGGGAAAGAGCGCCCAAAGAACGGCCATTCTCGAGAAAACTACTGACGCCACGAAAAGCCTCTCGGCGCCGGACGCGTCAAGGCCAGTGGAGCGGAAAGTTGTCAGAATTTCGGTCAGAGATTGTTGAAGTAAAAACTTTAAGCGGATGCCAGACTTCAGACAAATACCTCAAAACTGACAAGTCTTGGTAGAACTTGATGGAATATTTTACGTCGCGGACTGGGAGCGTCCGAATAAAATCCCGTGCTGTGCATTAGAACGGAGCCGAAGTTCTGACGCAGCAGGTTCCCCCACCAAGTTATGACGATTTCAGCGGGCGCTGCTCCCCTCTGGTACGGCAGCTGAGACCCCGGGCCCCTACACGGCGATCAGCTGCCAACGACACAAACAAACTCGGGCCGAGCTCGCCGATTTATGGGGTCCATTCCGGCCAGGGAAAATAACCGAAACGACTCCGTCGCCGAAGATGAAACGCACCATTCTGCGAGCGGGCCCTTTCCGTGTAAATGAAGCGTCAGGTCGGGACGATATCCCTCGCCCCGTTGGGGGGGGGGCATTTTGCCCCCCCCCCCTGTGGTTTTTCCTGAATAGCAAGAAAACGGCGGGCGGCTCAGCGCCGCCAAATTTTCAGTACCTTCCCGGGCATCAATTTAACACCTTCACACCAAATTTCAAGTCTTAGGTCACCTTAAGTCAGGAGCTATTGAGGTCAAACTGAGGTCATGTTCGAGCAGAAATGAGCAAAAAACATGCAATTTTTAAACGCTCACCAAATCTACAGTTATCAAGCAGTTTCAAAGTTCTTTATATGGTCTAGTAGACAAAAAGCGGCGCTACAAAACTGCTATCTCTGATTTTCGAAATTTTGGGTTTTTGACCCCAAAAAATCCAAAAAATTGATTTTTTTTTAGAAAAACTAGAAAAAATCCAAAAAATTTCCGAATTTCGAGACAACCGGGATATATGTGATAGTCCCTGCGCTTTTCTATATACATACCAAATTTCAGATCGATATCTCGTTTTTTGGCCAAGTTATAGCGGAAAAAAACTGTTCAAAAATGATGACGTCAAATTTTTAACTCAATTTTTAGCGATTCTAGACCACGTACGGCAAAACAAAGACCACCATTGAACTCCCCGTGACGAGCTGCATCGATTCGATACCCATTTTATGCAAAAATATTAACTTTGAAATTTGACCTAATTTGACCTGACCTTGACCTGACCTTTACCTGACCTTGACCAAAACGTGACCTAAGCTGGCCCCAAAGGCTGCCTGAACCACATAATCGCATTTGTCATGTAAAATGGACCATAAAACATGTATCACACGACACATTCATATTGTGACCCCCCCCCCCCCGTGACCTGACCTCTGTTACCTGACCTGGCATCAGTGACCTCAAATAGCAAAATATATGTTTGAAGAACATTTCCCCATCGATGATTTTCAATGAAATGCATTTTACTCGATTTTACAACGCATTTCTTGAAATGCCTGTAAACGGTGAAAATTGGACCTTTGACCTGACCTGTGACGTCATCGGTTTGACCTAGGTCAATAAAATTGGGTCACAAGGTAGTTCCCTGATAGGGCTATCCAACACCGTTTGCCGCTTGTCGCTAGGTTGCGTGGTTCTCGAGATCTTTGGGGGGCCAAAATGCCCCCCCCCCCCCTAACGGGGTGCGTTGCTCGGCAGAGCCCAACGGGGCGCGCCCGGCGCGGGATATCGGAGCTGCGGGGCCTCGAGCTGCGAGCTGAGCTATCATCTTACAAAGAGAAGAGTAGCACCGAGCTATCAGATAACGCAGAGGGATTAGCCGTTTTGAGCTCTCGTCTGTCTCACACAGAGACAAGCCACCAGGCATGTTCGCTGTTGTAATCTCTATATATCTCTTATAATCTCTCGATTCTTACCTCTCACGGAGAGACGAGCCATATCGGTAAGTCGCTTCATCTGTGCGTAGTTTCTAGCTTCGCAGGTATATTCCCCGGCGTCGGCGCGGGTCACGTTCTCGATGACCAGGTCACCCTCTCGCACTAGACGGTACCTGTGTGGATACGGTGCGAGGTCAGGCCAGGTCATCTTTCCACGCAGCACGGTGGAGTGAATAATGCAAGGATGGGACAACTGGCAGCGCCATTGTGACCTCAATTGTAAACCCAGGTGATTATCTGTAACTGGAATCAGGATACATTGAATTAGGGTAGACTGAATTAGTCCGGGGAACAGATTGCTAAGGCGAAAAAACGATGCTGTTGTTTTTCAGGGCGTCATTAAAGGGAATACTGCGACACTGCGCCAGGAGCATGCAGCACTCAAAACTTTTTTACTACCTCCTGGAGGGTTCATTTTCATCAAACCAGCAAGATAAGAGTATATTGAAAGGGTAACTCTTTGCTACCATTATGTGCATAGTAACGGTACGTGGTTGATATGAACTTATTCGCCAGCGAAGAGTATTATTACCATGCAAATATCAATATTACTCTCGCGATCCAGAACATCACGAAAACTCTTTCCTTCTGGGTATCGTGACTCGTGTACAGATAGTCGTTTCATGCGTGGATCTTGTTTACCCTCGTGAAGATGATATTTGAAATGGAATCACTCAGCCAATCAGAAACGAGATCGGCCGTTTGCGGTTTGAAGGCCGCGCGCATCTGTCAGTTTTCGGCCGTTGGTCTCCGAGAGCGGATGTGAGCAGTGTCGGTGCCGCGCGGCGTGGCCGTTGGTGATTGTGCTTGTGTGCTTTTCATCGCCTATAGAGCCTCTGTGGACATTTTATTGTAAGTACCGATGTGCTAGAGCATTGCATGCCGTTGAGTGGTGCTAATTTGACCTGGTTAACAGGACCCCGTGCACGGCCACGTGGCCTAGGTTGTGAGTACGTACATTAATTTTGTTGTGATGCTACAATTTTATGCATTTTGTTGGTGACTTTGAAAAAGCCTTGCACTGTAGTGATCCAGTCTCATTATCTCACGCAGACGGGCGACCACCCAGGAACGCCGTCGCTCTCTTCAAATATTGTGCGCTGTGCCTTATCCAATATGAGGGCGCTGAATGTCTTGTATTCACATTCAAAGTGCATTCAAGTTGTATCGTGGTGTTCATTTACCGCTTGTGCATTGCTGAACGCTTCGTATAAATTCGTATAAGTGAAGAGTCTCACAATGTTCATGGCTGGTGTGCCCCTCGTATTGTTTGTACGGAACAGTGTTGCCAGGTCTAGAGGTAAACCTCCAGATCTAGAGGTTTTAGGGGAGCGTTTCGGGGCTCCTGGAGGTTTTTGAAAAAATGCGGATTCTAGAGGGTTTTCTAGAGGTAATATGAAAATGCGAGAAAAGACAATTAGCATCAAGGTATCTTGAGAACTATTTAGGTACTAAATTTCATGTTATTATTTTTAAGTATTGCATGCTTAAACACACTTCTTGGCTTCCATCAACACACTTCCATCAACAGATTGATGGAAACGAAAAACCTACTTTTGGCTTGTTCACTAATGAGGCTCTGGCCGCCGGCTGCAGCTAAAAGTTCTCGATATACCGTGGGCACCATGGGCACCAAGGCTATGTGAACGTGGGCACCAAGGCTATGTAAACCTGGTGCCCACGGTGGGCACCAAATCCACCAAGTTATGTGGACAAATGCGAAGGCATGCGAAGAATGAGTGAATTATCTTGATTGGGGATACAACCGGGTGTTTCAAAGCCCGCTGCCAGCGCGCTGACTTCACACTTTGGGTATGTTCCAGTCGCACTTCCTAACACCTCTAAACTCCTCCAAGAGCAATATAGAGGAGGTTGGAGCAGGGCCCTCCTTTGATTTGTAGGGGCTAGAGCTGACACTGGGACAGGGAAGCTATCTTGGAGGAGTTTCGAGGTGTTAGGAAGTGCGACTGGAACAGACCCTTTGGTAGTGTTGGAGCAATGGGCTTGATGATGTCTAGTTATGCGCTGGCAGCGAATGGCAGCGTGCTTTGAAACAGCGCCACGGTTTGTGATACGGAGGTAGGCATGGAGGACGAGGTATATATCTTTCTAGTTGAGGTTTATTTGCCATTGGGTCTACAGTGCAGGGAGGTTTCTATCGCACTCCTCTCAGATGCAAAGATAAGGTCTCGAGGCTTCATAGCTAAATATCAAGAGTTCAAGTGATGATGGGTCAATAATCGAACCATTTTTAATGGTTATTTGTTTATGAAACTTATGAAATAATAAAACAAAGTATTCTAAATCTATTTTCCATAGATGAGGACATTTAAATATAATGTGTAATTAATTAAGAATAAACCTCAACGTAGAAAGATATAGGATTCCTCATGGCTCACTCGTGGAAGATCGGATATCTTTTCCTCGCGTGTTCCAGAAAAAAAAACTCGCTCCTTCGTCGCTCGGTTTTTCAGTAACCCGCTTGGAAAAGATATCCTTATCTTCCACTCGGAGCCATGAAGAATCCTCTATATACTTCATACTCAGCGGCAATGAAACAGAGGTTTCTAGAGGTTTTTACAACATTTTCTGGAGGTATTGGCATCACTCGACCTGGCAACACTGGTACGGAAGCCAAATATACATTGTTGCTCTTGAAGCATGTTTTTTAGTTGGTGAGCTCCGGTTAACAGAAGCTTCGTGAAGCTTCTGAAGCAAGCGTCTGTGAGTCTGTTACCATCCTCTGGGGGGTTTACACTAAAGGAAAGAGTAAACATTACCATGTGACAAAGGGTAGGCCAGAAGAATATGCTCTCTGTAGGAGGGTAAAGCACAGAGTAGATGATGCGTTACTCCCTAGAAAAGGGTTCCGTTTAAGATTTACCCTTTCAAAGAGTGTAACCCAAAAAATGTTACACTCTAGACAAGAGTAAATCAAAAGAGTTTACCATTCAGAAGATGGTAAAAAACGTCTGTGTGTCATGTTACCCCTCCCTGGCGAGTTTACTCTTCACGAAAGAGTAAAATTTACCATCTGGAAGGTGGTAAAAAACGTCTGTGTGTCAAGCTACCATGCTATGGCGGTTTTACCCTTCAGGAAATGGTAAAAAAGTTTTCAGTGAGGGAATTGAAAGTATGTTTGTGGTACTTAAATTTCAGCATGCCGCAGTAAGGTTCACTGCAAGTCGCAGCTATAAGTCAAGTCGCAGCTACAAGTCGCAGCTATTATAGTGACCTGATACATATACATATAAAATGCGGCGAGTGCCGGGTCGCGGCCGTTGCGTGACACCCACCGTCGCTCGCTGAACAGGTCCAGCGGTGTGCCATCTCGGAGCCATCGGACGGTGGGCGGCGGGTCGCCCTTGGGAGGGGAGCACTGGAGCGTGGCCCTGCCGCCCTGCACAGCCACCGTGTCCACCGGCCAGGCGCGAAACTCCTCCCGCAGCACTGCAACAAACAGGACAAACGACCTCTCATTAGGGTGGGGATGTGACAAACAAGACAACACCACGACCTCCGATCGCAGTAGCACTGCAACATATCAACAACAGACGGACCAGTAGTTAGAATCACGACTTACGAGTAAGACCACCGTGCAGAGCTGAACGATCCGAGACCCAGCCGTGTCCGTCTATTGCAACAGCAGTGCTTGTACCTTTTACCAGCATTTACATATGCTCATCAAATGACCAACGCTAGTTCTTCTGGTGGGACGGTGCTGAACATTTTACCTGTTGTTTGTAAATCTATGGCTTCAACTTTATCACCGCTGACATCGCATGATCCTGAAGCACACACATAGGTGCTCTCACTTCGTTTCTGTGCTGTTAGGCTGCCTACAATAAAAAATCATAGTCCCTTCGGTTATTTATTTCTGAATATTTCGCGAGGAATCGTAACAAGGGTCATATATTTTGCAAAGCAAGACAGACGAAACATGTTGGATGGAGTAAAAACCTTCCCCAGTCAATTCCTCCCGACAGTTTAAGAGCCATTTCAAATGCACCAGAGCAATATCACAGCACAAAAGGCGCACAGACAGCTGAATCTTCCTTCCACTTTCGAAACAGGCTGCCTTTGTTGCCCGAGTCGGCTTTTGGGTCCAGTCGTCCGAACTGCCGTCAGTTCCTTGGCAGCCCGCTCCGCCGGCGCGCTTTGAGCGCTCGCTCGGTACTGAACAGCAAATCATTTCGGTGACGTTTACTGTAAGAGATGTGCGGTGCTTGCGGCACAGCCGGGCTCGTACAATGACTCAGCCGAGCCGCCGCTGGAGGAAAATCAGAGACCGAAAGACAACCGCAGTGAAGTGTGCCACGACGCTGAGGGTGGGTATGGGGGACGGGGCGGGATGGGGCTTTGCTGTGTATGTATGTACAGGCGGTATTCCTACCACCTCCCCTCCAAAGAATCTCGGGAATGTTCTAGCTGGAACCCGCTGCATTACATGCCACGCAGAGGTAAGCCAACTCCGACGCGCTGCAAGGATGTGACGTCATCCCTGTGAATAATGATGTTATTCGGTGGGATAATGTCAGCTTCAATATGCACGACTGCACTTATAGCCGCCTGATGCCGCGTATTTACACAGTATGGATTCTTAGTATGACAACTCTGCATATACTCATTGCAGACTGAGTCTGCGCTAAAGCGCCAGGAGCCGGCTGGCCGGAGGCCTATTCAGCTGGCATACCTAACGGGAGCGGCCGCGCCGATCACAGTAGGCGGGGGCGGGGGCGGGGGCGGGGACGTGAGAGGCGGGGTGGGGACGGGGGGCGAGGGGTGGGGGCGGGGCGCGTCACTCCGACTGACGGCCCGCCTCGGTCAGAGACAGCAGAAAAATAGCGATCGGAGAAAACGGCCCGCAGCGCCATAATGGTGCACCCTTCCGGGCTGACGGAGCCGCCGCGTCCGGCCACCGGGGCAGGGAGCGGAGAACAGCGCGAGAGAGCGAGGGAGAGAATGTAAGAGGATGTGACGGAGAAAATAGAAACAGGGAGAGGAAGAGAAGCAATGGGAAGAGCAGAGAAGAGGTGTGGGAGAGAAAAGAGATAAAGAAGAGAGAAAGAGAGAGAGAGAGAGAGTGAGAGAGAGAGAGAGAGAGAGAGAGAGAGGGAGAGAGGGAAAGAGAGAAACGAAAAAGGAGAGGAGGAGGCTCACCGACCTAATTCCAAAGCTGGTTTGTGAGCCGCCCACTTGACCCCAGCACTGGCCTGAGAGACCGCTCGGTTTTGAAATCGGTCCGCCTACCTGATCTGGTTACCGCATGGCTCGACGCGACGGACTGAGCCGCGGTACGAGCCACTGTCCAATTCAATACCGCCGCCCCCGAGAGTAGTCTGTACTGGAGAAGTCTACACTGAAGTAGTCTGCCATGGACGGCTGTCGGCTGATCAGTATCACCACTCCGGGTCGGAGACGCAGAGAGGGCTGGTTATCGGGATCGGAGCCCGGACACAGCATGCAGGCTGCTCAGATCAGCAGAGACAATCAGAAACTGGGATCAGAGATCACTGCAAGGAGAGATCAGGACTCATCAGTATTAGAGACTGGGATCAGAGACAACTGCTAGGAGAGATCAGGACTCAGCATTAGAGACTGGGATCAGAGATCACTACTGCTAGGAGAGATCAGGACTCAGTATTAGAGACTGGGATCAGAGACAACTGCTTGTAGAGCTAACTCAGCGATCAGATACCGGTTGCATTGACGGCTGCGTAGACGAAGCAGAGACGGTTTGTCAGAGGAATCAGAGAACGAGGTCAGTTATGGGTAAACCGAAAATCCTGCTTCGATCAAAAGGTCAATGTGTTTTACTGAAGTTATGTGAAGTCTATCCGTATGTTTTCAATAATCATGTGTTCATTGAAGCGGTGCAAATATAAACAATTCTTAAATTATATAACCGATAGAACTATGCCACCATACACCAATGACCAAACAATACCTATTTCAGACTCTGAAAGACTGTTTGGAGAAATCTGTCGTTTCGACAGAGCGCCCCAGCCGTCTGTCATTCTGTCTATCACTTACAGCTGTCAGGGAAGAAAGCTCACTTTTCAGGCTGCTCAATAGCATTAGCCTCCGAGCCGATGAAAGCAATCTACTAATGGAATTGGATTATGCTGTGTGAAGAAAATACTGCAGTAAATGCAATAAGGAAGTTAGAGCCGAGTTTCTTAATTTTCGATTGTCAACCAGCCCGATGAAATGATGGTAGCCAGGTGCTATTTGAGGAAATAAGAAAAAAAGCTAAGTGGAGTTCCGAAGCTTCAAGGCACCCACAGAGCTGACACTGTAAAAAGGTGTCTAGGCCCAAACCATGTTTGTGTCGTGTACTTGCGCAGGCCTAACTTGGTACAATTCTTCGATGTCCTTTTTTTGTGGTCAGCGTCTTTTTTTTTGCCTTCAGCTCCAACAGCTCCCCATCACTGGTGCTCCGGACGGCTAATGACAGGTTGGCCGTCTATCTCCAGTTCCGTTCCCGCGACAGACTAGTATTTTCCGAGAGGCTTCGGCCGTAGCGGGGACGGCCATTTGCGCCGCACGGGCGGCTATGAAACTCTGATCCCTGCGCACTAGCCCGCCTGCCGGGCCGAGCTCGGCACGACTCCGGCGGCATTTGGCCGCTGTTCTGACCCGCTCGGCGCCGCGCCGGCTCACGTGAATGACCCACGTGACCTGCAATGGTGAGCTCCCGTACAGATATCCGACTGTGAACCGCCCATCTCCCGATCCAGATGCCGGCCAGCAGGGGTCAGCGCACTGATGAACTCGGAGGAGGATCCAAGGCCATATATAGAAGGTACAGTCACTCCCCCGCCGACCAATCAGAGACAGATCCTGAGTGACGTCATCCCTGATGCTCGCAAGGGGTACTCCATTCCTTAACAACGTAAAAATGACAAACTTTTCATTTGAAAATTATTTGATACTTTTCACCTATTGCTCAAACGTTGATGTCACTCGAAAGCCCAACTAATTTTCTAGCGACAAAAAAGAGCAGCAATATGCTAAGAAATGGCCGGTTTTGAAGATATAGGCGATTTAAAAACCCTCTGCAGTAGCAGAAAAGCAACGTAAAAACGCATCGAGCTTATATTTTTACTATAAATAAATCATTTTTCAGTATGTTTTTCGATAACGTATTGATATGATTAACAACTTTATTACAATATTTTTATTATTTGTAACTTTATTTCAAAATAATATTTTCAAAAATGGCAGCTGTTGGCAAGAAGCTTGGAAGCGATTGTGGCGCACCACGCCATTATTGTCTTGAGGCCCCCTTATGATGTCATCAAAAGTGGAGTGACATGGGCCTGGGAGGATCGTTAGTTACCTGCCAATGCCATGCAGTGGACACAATTTAGATGCATCTCAGTGCTCACGAATGATCGTTCTCAAACGACGTGTTTCCAGAGGTTTGATTATGACACATCACACATGGTCCTTATCCATACTATTTAGGAACTAAGAAAATGAGCCAAAGACAGCTTACTCTGATTTTACATTTTCTTATTAAGAAAGTGATGACGTTAGTATTGCAGCAAAACTATTTAGGTCATCGCGGCATATTACCCAAAAATATTCCATGGAGAGAGATATCACCAACTGCTCCCAAATCTGTGCCTCATTAGCCATGCGACCTGGCAGCGGTGCCGGGCGTCCTTCCAACTCTGCCCCAGTCCTCTCTGCGCGCCGTATTTCCATGAGATGAGCGGCCGTCCCGCCCACACCGCCCGGCGGGGGTGATGAGTATCGATTGGTGGGCGGCACAGAGGGCCGCCGGCCGTCGCTGCCGGCTGTTCCGGCCTTCTCCGACTGCTTCCGGCCGCCCTCCCGCCTACATCCATTACAGCGGCAAACAATCGGTCGCCGCCACTGGCCCCGACAGCTGATGACTGCGAGAGGTGCTGAGCACGCACCCCGGCCGCCGTGATGAGCCGAGGGTGGACCGCCAGCCGCCGGAGCCAGCGGCAGCTCGCAGGCAATGGCAGGGAGATGGGGGCAGTTAAGGCGGGGCTCAAGGTCTTCAGTAGAGGTTAGAGGCCAGGAGCAGATATGGGAGCAGCATCAGAAATGACAGTCCGTGGAGGGGAACGCTAGGAGTCAGCAGCTTTTGGGAAGGAGATAGCAGCAGTTGGATTCATATTTGTGGGAAAATGACAGCAGTAGATATCTGAAAGAGTGCTGGTTAGAAACGAGACCAGCTTTTGGATAGAATTGCGCCTCCAAAGAACGACGTGCAGCTCTTTAACCCGCGCCCTGCTGGGGGGGGGGTGTTTGAACACCCCCCTTGTGATTTTTCGCGAATATCTCAAAAACGGCCGCGCGGAGCGCCGCCGTTTTTGGTACACCTTATCATACGTCAATTCTACACATGTTGTGAAAATTTCAGACCAAGGTCATTCAAGGTCAGGTCACCAGGTCACTTGAAGTGACCTCAC